TATGGGGAGAATAAGACATATGCACAACCATAAAGTGACCATCTTGACCACCACAAATATCACATACATTCCACACAAAAGATTGAGTTGGTGCACATAACTCGCTCTCGAAAATATTTTGACAATTTTGCAGCAGGTGATTTCCTCCATAATAAGCACAAGGAAGATCAATAGTAGAATTATCAACATCGAAACTCTCATAATTCCAACATGCCATGTTTCTCAAANCAAAATTTGATCACGCCCAACTATGCCTTATAAAAAGGACTAAGTGGTCGCTGCAAATATAATCCGGTCTAAAAGACCAGAGTCGAATCCCACAGAGAACTAAGGCTTAGCTACAGTTGTTCAATATCACTAAGAAACTCAAGTCCAAATAATTTCCTAATTATAAAGATTATAATATTTATTTCTATCTAATTAACTAACAAATCTTAAAAGCAGTAAAACTATCAATTAATAAGGATAATGATTGGAGACAAGATTAAGGAGGTCTAGAGTTGTGATTTTCCCAATTGTCGGAATTCTACCCTCTGCATCTTCTATAATTTTGCCTAAATATTCTCTACCGATCGCGAGTACTTCAGGTGTCGTAATTCTCTTCCGAGCAACTACCACAATTTACTAGACATATTCTTCTGAACTACACTAGATGACACTAATTCACCGCTCACTAAGATCGCACCAATGTTTTGTTATTTCTAATCCCACCTTTAAACCCTTCGTATTAATTTTTCACATACGTTAGGAGTGATGTTCTTCAACAACTACCTAAATATGTACACTTTTCCAAGCAATACATACTAAATAGTCACAGTCAATTGATGGACATTCAATCAACATCAACAAACACGTAGTTGAACAATCCGACGGCTCAATTATATAAAAATATAACAAGAATTCATCCTCTAAAAGTTTTCATCAAACATTAGATAATAAATTAGCGACTCATAGTAGTATGTGAAAATACAATACTAAAATTCATAACCAACAATAGAAAATAGGAAGAAGAAAGGAAGAACTCGTGGTTGAATGTTCCTCCTTGCTCCTAGTGTATTCTTGCCTCCAAATGTGTTGTGTAACCCTATAGTAGCGTCTCCTCCCTCAAATTTGTGTTTTAGGATGTATTTATATCACTTAGGGTTGATGAGGGGCGGAATTTTCAATCCAACTTCGAATGGGAGAAGCTAGAAGGCACGTCTGCCTTCGCGCAACGCGCGACCATAGACGCGGATGCAGCTTTTACAATTTTCCAGTTCGCGAAGCGATCCGTGCCTTTGCTTCGCTTCGCTGTTTTGTGCCTTCATTTTTCTCCTTTTTCGCGTCCGTTCGTGCCACACACGAAATTGGACGAGCTCCCAATTCTTTCCATCTCTTCTTTTTTTGTCGAATTGTTATCTTTTGATCATTTATCATCAAAACTCGTCCCTACACATAAGAAACACATAATGAGTATATTTCACTTCACAAACCATGTAATCTCCCGCGACTCACACAAGAATTAATAAGCAAATATACTTTAAAAAATTTCACTTTTCATCATTTATCACAATCCTATTTAACTAACTCGAGAAAAGAAAAAAAATTCGCTATAGAAATCATCAAATCCTATATTTTGTTCTACCAAACACATATTCGTCCTTTTGTTGAAAAAGCTAGTGTCCATGTTCTCCCGAAATCGAGGATGTTTAGTAAACTTATTAGTAACTGTGTAGTAAGATACAGTCAAATCAAACAGTAAAAATATTATTTAATAACAATAAGCGATACAATTTATCTAAACGTTATATCCCTAATATAGTACAATACAATGCATTATAAAATGATAAGTAACAATGATCCAATTAGAATGTAAAATGTATAAAATTATTGCAAGAATTACCTCATGGACCTGATAAGGAAAAAAAAGATAGGTATCGGATAACATTACTTTAGCAAATGAAGTGGTGAAGGACTATGGCAAGAAATATGCCTTTCCCAAATGCATGATTAAAATAGGTCTCTAGAAAGCCTTGACTCAGTGGAATAGTTTTTTTGAAGAAAGTAATGGAGAAATTGGGATTCCTAGACATATTCATTTCAGGGATAATGGAATGTGTGCAAACAGCGAATTATACAGTCATGTTTAATGGAGAAACTACTAAATTCTTTGATGCAGCTAAGGGCTTAAGACAAGATGATACAATCTAACCCTATCTGTTTGCAATTACCATGGAGTACCTGAGCAGGAAATTGAATAAGCTCAAAGAAAACAGTGCCTTTAAATACCATGCAAGATGTGCCAGATTGGGATAGCTCACGTAAGGTTAGCACATGATTTACTATTATTTGCTAGAGGAAATTTTAATGCAGTGTCTATTATGTATCAGGCTTTTGTACAATTTCAGAAGCTTTAGGTTTGCTTGCAAATTTGAGGAAGAGTTCGATCTATTTTGGAGGAGTTCCTCAAAGTGAAAGAGAGAGAATTTTCCAACGTCTTGATATACAGCAACAACAACAACCCAGTATAATCTCACTAGTGGGGTCTGGGAGGGTAATTTGTACGCAGACTTTACCCATATCCTGGGGTAGAGAGGCTGTTTCCGATAGACCCTCGACTCCCTCCCTTCAAGAACTCCCACCTTGCTCTTGGGGTAACTTGAACTCACAACCTCTTGGTTGGAAGTGGAGGGTGCTCACCGCTAGAGGAACCCACTCTTGTCAACGTCTTGATATACCTGCTGGTGAATTGCTATTTGAATACCTTGAAGTGCCTTTGTCAACCAAGAAAATCTCCTTCATCCAGTGGCAAGTACCATTAATAGAGAAAATAGTAGCAAGGATCGCCCCATGGACTACTAAGAAACTCACATATTGGTCTCAGCTTTTCCAAATCATAGTGATGATTTTAAAGCTTATACTAGTGCATATTTAGCTTCATTTGATACGGAACTAATACAATCACAAAGAAGATCCTTGTAGCCTGGGAAAAGACATGCTGACCAAAGTTCTCTGGAGCTCTTAATCTCATAAGATATACCGAGATTTAACTCACAAACAAGATAAATTGTGGATCAAATATTGGACTCATGGATATTATATCAAGGAACATCATATCAACAAGCATGTTGGATCATCATGAAAATTTGGGATGCTGGACAAATTATGGAACATGTACAGATAGGCTCTTTATCTGGGAGTTTAACCAAACAGATATAGGGTGTTTGGTACGAAGGATCCAATTTTCCCTATAAAGAGACACAGGGGTCGTCATAAAAACCCGAAAATCCAAATCAAATCAAACTGACCAAAAAAATCGNTGTGTGTGTGTGTGTGTATGTATATTTTTGCACAAAGTTTCTAAAAATTTATGGTAAATGTTAATCGTTTGCACTTTTAGTACAGTTCTTTGCCTTTACATTCTAGTTTGATGAGTAGTTTTCTTTTGTTAAGTGTAAGAATCCATTTCATGTTAAAAATAATCTATTTTTAATTGAGTCCTTAAATTATTCATGGGGAAATGCATAAGTACCCTCTGACCTATAACCGGATTTCCAACTACACTTTATCTTTGCGGGAATCCTGTTACCCCCTGAATTTTTTCACACGAAATAAATACTACCCTAAATATAGACAACAAAACTCTTGGCAAGTTGTGAACTACACGCGCTGGCACATGTATATTCAGTAATTTTTTAATTATTTCTTCTTTTTCTTATCCTTTTTTCTTATTTCTTATTATTTTATTATTGTTCTCATTTTTTTTTTGTTTTTTCATTCTCTTTCTTTTTGTTTTAGTCACCGGCGGCATAAAATGGTGGTCGTCGGAATTTCAAGGACTCAATTTTTTCCGGCACAAAAAAGTTTCCGGCGACAGATTTTTATCCCGATCTGAGTGTGTTTTACTTTATATATATATATATATATATATATATATATATATGAAAGTGTAATTTATGTGTGGGAGGAAGAGTAAAAGAAAGAAAAACGAATATAAGTTGAAAATGGTGGTCGGAATTTCAAAGACACCATCTTTTTTGGTGCAATTTTTTTTTCCGGTAACAGATCAAAAAATAATGAGCTCCTAGAAAACTTTCTAGTAATCAACAACCAAATTTTCTTCCTCATTTTTTTCAAAATTTTGCTTTAACAAATAAAATTTAAAGAATAAAACTGAACTCGATCTCGCCGAAGAATATGGAGAATGACGGAGCAAATTTCCGGCCAAGTCTATGAGTAAAGAAACTAGAGGAAAGAAAAGGAAAAGAGAAAGAAAAACAAGAGTAGAAAAGAAAATTAGGAAAATAGTATTTTATAAAAATGTTATAAAAATAAAATTTCAAACTTTCTCTCTTTCTTACTCTCCCAAAGAGGGTGACATGCATTCTCTTCTGCCACATCAGCACTAAGGGTATACTAATTCCATTTAAAAAAAGTTTAGGGGTATAGAATTCCCGCAAAGATAAAGTGTGTAGTTGTAAAACCGACTATAGGTTAGTGAGTACTTATGCATTTGTCCATAATAATAATAATAATAATGATAATGATGATGATGGTGCATTTTACATGCCCGTTAGCCAAATCATCTTTACCTTTATTTTTCTCTAACTTTCACGATCATCATATATATTCTCCACTGTCTGTATAATTAGTTTCTATATCACATCTATTATACCATCAAGTATGGTGAAATAGACAAAAATTCTTCATACTTAATCAGAGTTTTTTAATAGGGAACCCAAAGAGAATGTTGTACAACGAGTAGATAAAAAACATCATATGCATAATATCAAATCAAACTTTGCAAAATGACAAAAATTGATTTTCTTAAAGGTGACACTTGTGTAAATAATTATACTTTTATTTATTCAAACAACAAAAATAAATGACGAAGAAAAACGCTCATCATCGGGGAAAAAAAAAAAGATGAGAGAAATTCATTAGTGGTAACCAACGGCCAACTTTGAAGCAACTGTTCCGTTTCTCTCTCCTCTTTTCCTTTTTCTGTCTAACGACATTTCCATAATTCAGTTGTAGAGTCCAAGAAAGAGAAAAAGAAGAGAGAACTTAATTTCTCTCTCTTTTTTCCCTTTTCTTGAGGACCTCCCTTCCTTTTTTTCTTGTTTTTTGTCGCTCCTTCTGAAAGAAAAACAATAAAGAAATACTAATCAATCAATAATACCAAAGCCATGGCNGTGTGTTTTTGTGTTCTTTATAAGGTTAAAAAAATGTCTTTTAAGTTTAGAGTGTGAGCATGTCGTTTTGTACTTTCACAATGAATTGTTGATTTTTTTTTTCTGTTCTATTAGATATTTTGCCAGATTGTGTGCAATTTATGGTTCCCATGTAATGAATCTGCCTATTTCATGTATGTTCGATACCAGTGTACAAATAATTGTGAAATTTTGATCTTGGAGAACCTTCAGTTTCCTTTGTTTATTTATTTCTTTTTGTTATAGCCATGGTGTCCGGGTGTAAACTATTATCTCTGCATAGATTTGAGGCTTAGACATAGAAAAAGAAAATCACTTAATATTTTTTCTCCTCTATTAGAATTTGACCTTGGTCCCATAATTTTCATTCCACTTTTTTGACCATTAAGTCGCACTAGAGAACCACACCAATTTGTGTTAAAAGATAAGTTATTAAGTACTAAAATGAAATGGCCTAAATAGCATAAGAATGGATATAATTAATTCATATAACCTGCCCCCAATTAATTTGTGATTGAGGCATAGCTGATTGATGGATTGATGTTTTTTTTAATAGGCCTATTTGCTAGTTATATTAATTAGTTTCTCTAATGAAGTTTAGCAAAATCAACGCATTTAAGATCTAACGAGAGCGTACAAGCATTTTATAAGTCAGAGAACTGAGTTTTATATGCCAATAAGGCTTGGTATAATTCTGGTTTATAAATTAAGTATCCAGATAATATTGCAGTATCATACTATTTTAGCATCCAAATGATCATAGAGTCTATATATTACTCTGTGATGAGAGACAACTGAGTTTTATCACTACCTTTATCATTTTTATTTGTCAATGTTAGGAGTATTTTTCTCCTAACATGTAACATATTTAAATAAGTTACCTTGGAGCAGGGGTGGCGGAAGGGGTTCACCTTTGTTGGAAAATTACACTATGCATACAAGATTAAGATTATTTTATATGAGTTCTTTGTACTTTGAATCCCATTTGTAAAAAATTTAGCTCCGCCACTACCTTGGAGACCAGAAATTGTAATGAACGCATTGTAGATAGCTGGATAATTAAGAGGGAAATGCACTTTTTCCTGGACTTTTATGCTTTCATCAAGTAAAAAGCAAAGAAAATGTGTAGTTGTAATTTATTTGTGTAGGGGAAACATTTACAAAGTACTTGGATGTTGCATTTCCTGGTTAATACAATTTGTTTGATTTTGATGCTTTGAGTAACTGAGAATTAAAGCCTTTTATATCCATGTCAATTTCAATATATTTTGACATGGAACTGCAAGATTCATAGTTATTTTTGAATCACAATAGGAAAGTCGTCCACTTCCGAAGTTTGGTGAGTGGGATGTCAATGACCCAGCTTCAGCTGAGAGGTTCTCTGTCATCTTTAACAAAGCTCGAAATGAGAAGAAGACAGGCAAGATAGACTCACCACCAAAGAAAAACTACAAGCATACAGCAACTCTTGGAAAGCCTCAATCTGTAAGTTGTGGCGCCCTATAGCTATCTACATGTATATATTTTTTTTTATAACCATGATGCCGGGCTAGCCACACTACAAGAAATATGACCTATGACGATATTTTATAAATGTCGTACTAAGCTACATAAATGTCACAAAATCGTTTTCCGACATTTATTTTACACTTAGTTCAAGTGTCATAAATTTCAATGTTAGGAAATTTTCCGACGTGTATTTTAATGTCGGTAAAAGATTTACGACATTTAGTTTACGACTCACAGCTTCCATTCAAACAAACCTATCTCCGTATCACCACCACAAAACAAAATCACAACATAGATTAAGCTTCAAAAACTCAAACTCCCAATTCTTCTGCTGCGAATACATAGGGAACAAGCAAATGCAATAAATAAACATGATTGAATTCCTCCGGGAAATCAAAACACTCACCAGAAAGAAGGAACAATTCGAATCCGATCGATCAATCAAGAAAGAAAAATCCTAACCTAGAATTACGCAATAGATGAAGAGAAGGAAATAGAGAATGAAGCAAGAAGAGAGTGCATATTCATACTGCTATTACTGAAGATTCTTGATATTCACGGTTGGGGTGGAGGAATTCGGACGGGATAGAGAAATGGAGTGTGGGGGTGGGGTGGGG